CCGCGGCGGCGGACGGCAGCGGCTTCGCCGTCGGGGACCTGGAGTGGTGGGGCGGGCTCATGGGCGCCGGGCACGACTACTACGTGCGCGCCGCGGCGCCGCCGTCTCTCCGCCACCGCACGCCCACCGACGCCGCCTCGCCCTGCCGCGCCTTCATCTTCTCCCGTGTCTCCGCTGCCGCCGCATCGCCTACCGGCCATCGGACTTCCTCGCGCCAGCGACCTCCTTCCCACCGCCGGCCAGCCTGACCAGAGTCTAGAGAGAAGAGTGTGTGTGTGAGTGAGAGAGAGAGGGGGAGGAAAGGACAGGAAGGGAGAGGCCGGTCTGCTGACGTGGCATCCTGACATATGGAGCCCACGTGGGTCCCACGTTGACTCAGCTGCCACGTCGGATAAAACCGGGGTCAAAACCGCTGAGGGACCTAGTTTGCACTGGTTTTGTAAATTGGGGATGTGATGTATCCGGTTTTGCGGTTGGGGGATGATTTTGTAACTCGATGACAAGTTGAGGGACCTTCGGTGTACTTTTTCCACTGCAGGTTTGCAAACGGCCCGATGACTCAGCTAATGGCCGTGGCGCCCACGGCCTACCAGTCTACAGGCTGACATCCGTAATTCAGAAGAAAACGTTCACTTTGAGTCCCTGATCTTGACTTGGAGTTTGGATATCATTCCTAAACTACAATACGCAGATATAATACATATCTCAACTTAAAAACCAGCGTAAATATAGTCCCAAGATAATTTTGATAGCGGTTTTGACTGATGTGGCTCGACGTGTTGACTTCATCTTCCTACGACGTGGCATGCGGGACCCACGTGTAAGTGGAAAGGAAAAATTTGAAAATTAAACCATGCGCCGAGGCTGGCTCCACGCGTCAAAGGCGGCGGCGGGAGGGGGATCCTCATCGTGCTGGTGGTAGACTACGCTCTGCTCGTAGCAGTGGCGGATCTAAAAAATCGATTCGTTGGTGTCAAAACGCATCTATCGGTGTCATAGTATGCTTATTATACTTAGATCATGGTGCTATAGTATATGAATAAGCAGTTTCGCTATAGATTTTACTGAAAGTCGTCGGTGTCGCCTGACACCGGTCTTATAACTGTAGATCTGCCCCTGGCTCGTAGGATGGCCACGCCGCCGTCCACGAGGACGTCGAGGAGGAGAGGGAGAGACGCAGTGCCAGTGGACGTACACGACTACACGTACGGTGGCTGGTGGCTCAGGCGCCCCTTTTTTTTCTCCACGGGCCACGGCCACCGTGTACACACCTTCTCCTCGGCCGCTGGCTACTTCTTCCGTTGCTGCTCCACCGGCGGCTTGGACGACGACAACGACGCCGATGGCGGCCCAATGGTCACAACTTCCGCCCGCTCGATCATGTCCACCGGGACCATGCACCTACGCTGCCGGTGATCGATTACCGTTAACGTGCTCTAGAGTCGATCGATCTCGGTCTTGTCAACACCTGATCAATATGTTCATTTGCTTCCTTGTGTCATGGATGTGCTGATACCTTGGAGGTCGGCCGGAGACGGCCTGCAAAACCATTGGACATGGACCGGATGCCAGAGAGAGCTCAGCTCACGACAGTGCCGCGTGCATGCCGGTGCCCGGCCGGTGCTTGCTAGTACAAATGTTGTTAGAACTAATTAATCTTGTTGTATATAGGATTATATGGTGTCTTACTTAGTTTAATAAAGTCATATGTTTAGCGTACGTAGTTGCATGAGAGCTCATGCATGTGTAGCTGGGAACGTGATAGGTTCACGTTGTGCCTGCTGTGAATGGGATCGAGTTGATAGCTTCTTGCGTGCGGATATATAGGAAGGAAGTGGAGTCCTGGTCATGGGAGATCATGCGTAATTTGCATGAGACTCGATCGGCGAAAGCATTTAGACCGGCAGTGCATCATCAGCTGGGCTTCTAAAACCATATATATACCACTCATTTGGTTAATTGTGTGCGTGTTGCAATACAGAAAGCTAAAAAGATCGACGTGCGTCGTCGCCGGCGTTTGTCGTCGAAATCTCGTGTGTTTGATTCAAATCTGCATGTGTGTTGTGCTCATACTTGCCGTGAGTTTGATCCTGCTTGGCTTTATGCTGCTGGCTTTCTGCAGGTGGTATATGCCGCGCGCATGCATCTGTTACCGGCCTCTGCTCCCAAGCTGGTGTGGGGAAGGACGGCCGAGGGGAGCTGCCGGTGAGGGGAAGACGAAGACGTGCTCCTTCTCCGCCTTGTCACCACCAGAGTTCACTCTATCGGTTCAGGGGTTTCTATCGGGGGGTCACCGAAATCCCGAAATTTCGGTCCGAAATTTCAGAAATTTTGAACAAAATTTAGTTGAATTTGAACAAATGTTATCCAAATTCATGAAAAAATTGAAAAATTCAAAAATTTCGGCCGAATTAATATCGTATCGGGGGGTCACCGAAATTTCGGCAATTTCGGCCCGAAATTTTGGAAATTTCGGCCCGAAATTTCCAACCCTGGTCACCACCGCCGGCGTCCTTCCACTTCACCACTGACCGTCGGCCGCCGGCCTCCTCCTCACTGCTTGCCGCCTGGTGAGATGGAAACATGGGGAAGAGGAGAGACATGTGAAGAGAACCTGACATGCGGGTCCATGCTGACTCAAGGTCGTTGACTCGCGTCAAATTGTCATGTGAAACAAACCACTTGCTATATTGTCATAGCATCCGTTTTAATTGATAGTTGAATGACCCGTTGTATCTGATATTTCGGTCTAAAGATGAAAATTAACTTAATCCTAATTCAGATGATCAAACCTGCGTATGTAATCTTACTAAGGGCATGTTCAATCTTCGAGACACCATCTTATGTCATTTTTTTCCATGTTATCTAGAGACAGCATATGAGACATGATCGATGTACGATGAGTTGTCTGTCGCAATGTATGTATTTCGTCTCTTTTTAGGAGGGAGGCATATCAAATTAGCATGCCTTGAAAATAGAAGACTCAATCGCTAAAATGTATAAATAGACTATATTTTCTTTTATAATTTTGATAGAAATAAATATAGTATAATCATATAGTGTAATTACATCGTAACTTGCATGTAACTACGATACAACCTCTACATAACTTTCAATAATCCCCGCGGTAACACGATATTTTTACAAAGTGGAGGTCGTCAGGTCAAATCACCTTACCTGTTCAGCCATTGTGATTTTTTTCTTTCCGGCTTGTATAAATCTTGAAACAAATTTAATGATTCAAAATTATGTAAAACTTGCATACAAGTTATATTATAGTTACATGTAAGTTACAATGTAACTACACTACAATTATACTATATTTACATTTGAAAAAATTTTAATAAAAAATTATCGATAAATATATAGTAAAATCAATGTTGAAATCACCGTCTATAACCATCGTTGCTAGGTCTGTTTCAACAACAAAATGTATCGATGTTTTCTCTCTCTTAATGGTCGGGCAAAATTCAATGTGGCATAGTATTACTGACGGCAGAGAAAACCCATTGCACATTGCCCTAAGAAAAATAGAACAGCGAAATGGGCTAATTGGTTGACGTGCTCATTTTGCATAAGCTATGATAACTCGAAAAGGTCTGGCTAGCAAATTTTGGAACCACACTTTAGCTACTATGAAGAAAACTTCGCACACTTTTCTGTGTCATTTATACGTGGGAGCTATATCTTGAAAAAGAAAACTTGTCACAAAATGAAGAACAAACCAAATAGGCAACAAACTTGATCAAACTTATCTGAGGTGTGACATAATGATGATGCAACTTGTGACATCGAACCAAGCAGCCCTCAAAAACTCACCTTTCCAACTAATCAAATGCAAAAGGTGAGAATGTGATATCATCGTTTGTTCAAAGGCCTGAAGAATTATGCCCAAATGCAAGAAAATTTGTCCTCTAATTTACAGAATGACACTTGGCTGGCCAGACAGCTAACACAAGCCGCTGATATAAAGTTCCTTTTAATATTAATTAACTTCGTCTTGCTTGGACCTCATGAGCTTCAGCTATAAGCCTCTCCAGATATATATAGCTTTCTGCATCGAAACGGCAGATGCAAACCCAGCTTTTAATCTATCAGTTATGCCCCAAGCCAAATGCATGAGCTGTGCTTGGCTTGCAAGACCCTTTTTATTTTCTGCTGCTCGGTGAAACACTCCAAACTGAAGTTTGGTGACATTTAGAAAAAAAGAAAGTAACTGATAAATAGCTGGATCGAGTTCATGAAGTGTTCCTAGTTCAGCTGGCTAGTAAACTACAAACTGAGTTTGTAATCTTGCAGTTGCAGGTTGTTGCTCAAAGTGTTCATAGTTCAGATAATGCTGGAAATAAATATGAATATGTTAGTACATACACGCCACCTAGCTACTTAATTACTTTTCCAAAAGGTAAGTTTATTAATTACTGCTGCATTTCTTCCTTATATAGATAACATGTTGCTCTAATCATCAATCACTCAGTCAGTTAGAAAACAAGGGCCAGAATATCAGTTTGCATATATGAAAAGGTGGTATATAATAAGTATGTAGTAATACTTATTGATGCATTGTGTTATCTATTCACTGGTCAATCAGACTGGTGTTCATGCATCATTCAGTAAATGTTATTCTTGCAATAATTCAATTTCTGACCGAATTAGGGTGTGTTTAGTTCACGTCAAAATTGGAAGTTTGGTTGAAATTGGAACGATGTGACGGAAAAATTGAAAGTTTGTGTGTGTAGGAAAGTTTTGATGTGATGGAAAAGTTGGAAGTTTGAAGAAGAAGTTTGGATCTAAACTCTGCCTTAGCAAAGCTGTGAATCCCATTGATCTGCCAACATTATAGCTTGAACCAGACGTTACACCCTTTTCTCCTCTCTAGAAAATGTTTTTTTAGCTTTGGATGCATCTTATAAAGAGAAACAAAATCACCTAAAAAAAGAACCTTTTGTAATTTTGTCATGGTAGCAACTAACAAGAGCATAAGTAGTGAGGTTAGGGGACTCATATCTCTCCGACTCTCCCTCCCAAAACGCATTTTCGACATCAAAGCCTCCACAAGTCCAAGAGCCTTTTGCGTCGTCCATGGCGCAAGAGGGCACGAGCAGCAACGCACCCCCGGCTGCTGCCTCCATGGGCTCCGGCGACGGCGACAACAAGGAGGGCACCGGCGAGTCCGGCAACAACCAGCTGCTGCTTCCGGCGATCGCCGCCAGCGCCGACAAGGGTAAGGGCGTCGTCGCCGGGACCGGGAACGTCGACGCCAAAGGTAAGACCACGGCGATGGCGCCGGCGGCCAGCAGCACGAATGCTCCTAACAACCAGGGCGGCGGCGGCGGCGGCGGCGGGCGCAGCCGCGAGAGGATGCACATCTTCGCCGAGCGCGAGCGGCGGAGGAAGATCAAGAACATGTTCACCGACCTGCGCGACCTCGTCCCCAGCCTCACCAACAAGGTTTAAACTCGCAGTAGCTACATCGATCGTCAGTGCGGCGACGTGATGGATGAGATGATGTTTCAGGCGGACAAGGCGACCATCGTCGGGGAGGCCATCAGCTTCATCAGGAGCCTGGAGGAGACGGTGGCCGACCTGGAGCGCCGCAAGAGGGAGAGGAACAGCCTCGCCGCGCGGTGCGCACGCCTCGGCCTCGGCGGGTCCTCCTCCTCGTCCGCGCCACCGCCACCGCCACCCCCCGCCGCCGCCGACGACACCGCCGCCGTCATGCCGCCCGCGCCGGCGGTGCCGCCACCTGATGCCGCCGCGGTCACCGCGGGGCCAGAGCCTGCGCCGGCGCCGGCGCCGGGGACGTTGATGGTGTGGTCGGGGCCGAGCGTGGTGCTGAACCTGTGCGGCGGCGACCAGGCCTTCATCAACGTGTCCGTGGCGAGGCGCCCCGGCGTGCTCACCATGATCGTGGACGTGCTGGAGAGGCACTCCATCGACGTCGTCACGGCGCAGATCGCGTCCGACCTGTCCCGGTCCCTGTTCACCATCCACACCAGCGTGAGTATTCCTCTCCCCTCCTGTTTTTTCGGGCGCTTTTTTTTTTTGGTCCAAACATGTTTAGTTTTCAAAAAACTTGCAACGGTAGGAAAAATAGAATTTCTTTGAGGTACTGGCCTACGGCCCGGGCGTTGCAACGGAAAACAAAATTGAGTTTCTAGCTTATTAAATCGATTAATCATCACATATTTAGTCTAAGAAATACTCTGATTTTTCTTATTAAACAAGTATATATGTGATTTTGAAATTTGGGGGGATGAAATAGCGAAATGGAAGAGGGCTTGTTGAAAAGTGATGTAATAGTATAGAATGTGCGACCAGATGTTAGTGGTATGGGTGGTGTGAGAATAGACACCACCACTACTAACATTCAGGATTTACAAAACCGTGCAGATATCGCGGTTATCATGTGCGGTAACCTTCTCAGTTTTTAAAACCATGGTATAGCTCGCGGTAATCACACGGTTTTCACGAAACCGTGGGGTGGCGGTAACCTTACCCAAAACGGTTTGGTGAACCCTGTTAACATTTTAAGTAGTATAGATATGTATTGGATATATATCTTAGTTTTGTCGTGGTGCACGCGTACCTTTGTAGGGACCATCCTCATGTGATTGGTATATTTCTGGAACATTCGCTAACATATTCAATAAAGTATATCACCTTAAGTACGTGTGGAATTTTCGCGTACCTTTGTAGGGACCATCCTCATACGATTGGTACATTTCCGGAACATTTGCTAACATATTCAATAAAGCATATCACCTTAAGTACGTGTGGAATTTTCACGTACCTTTATAGGGATCATCGTCATGCAATTGGTGGATTTTCAGAACATTTGCTAACATCTTCAATAAAACATATCACCTTAAGTATGTGTGGAATTGTCGTGTACCTTTGTAGGGACCATCCTCATGTGATTGGTGGATTTCCGGAACATTTGCTAACATCTTCAATAAAGCATATCACCTTAACTAAAGTATAGAGCCCATAAAAACTTGCTTTGTTGTGTGGTGTCATGTGGTGCGCATCTTTGTTTGGATCATCCTCTTGTGAGAGTTAAAACTTTGTCGTACTAGGACTTATTCTAGCTACTCTAGCGTACACCACTAGCGCGTAACGGTCTAGCCATAATTAATTAACAGAGCCGGTACAAAATTTGCTTTGTCGTGGAGCGTTCGTCCAACCCTAATTGCAGTGTCCTATGTATCTTTGTATAGAGCATTCTCTTATCGGAGTTAGAACTTATCGTGCAATCTATTCAATAGCATATACTCTCTCCGGTTTCATTTTAATTAACGTTTTAAACAAGGTTATGGTTAAACTTTTATAACTTTGACTATCAATAACTTTAAAAATACTTAGTATAAAGAAACTAGAACAACATATATAGATTGGTATTTCAAAACACTATAATAAAAGTAAACATATATTTATTTATGGCAAAACACTTAAATTTTGCAAAATTATAATGGCATGGTTCCAATTTTCCCTTTATTTATTGTATATATTATAATAGAAAAATAAAGTCAAACATATATTTTGTAGACCGTGTCATTGTCCAAAACATCAATTAAAATGAAACCAGAGGAAGCACCACAAGTGCGTAACGGTCTAGACACAATTAATGAATATAATCCGTACAAACCAGCTTTGTCGTGCGGTGCGCATGTATGATGTTAGTTGTTGTCTACATAGTGCGTATATGTACCATCCTCTAGTGGGAGTTAGAACTTATCATGCGATAACTTGTTCTGGCTAGTTATTTTGATGGTGTATACCGCCCTCGTAATGGTTTAGTAACCAGAAACAATTATGGCTTGTGCAATGTACCATCGAGCCATTTTATTCCTATTTAAGAGAAAAAAAATGATATTTAATAGTCGAATTATTGAAAAAACACCTTATATATAAAACTTGCTATAATAGGAATGGCTAGGAGTACTTATCACTTGGTAACACCATTTAAACCAGTGAAAAAATCTCGAACCAAAACATAATGGCTTTCTTTTATGGTAAACAAAAGAGGGAGTACGAAGCATGGGGTATGATTTACACAGTTCGTTCAAAACGCAATCTAGCTAATTCCCTTTACTTTGTTAATCGTGTTTTCTGTTTTGTTTTGTTGGATGGTTACGCTTAGTTTTACATGTTCAACTTAAAATATTAGCCAGCTTAAAATTCCTGGAAAAGTAGTGAAAAGCAGCTGAATTTGATATCCTTATTTTACATTGCAATTCTTGAATCCTAACAAGTGCATCGATCTACTGGCCTGTTCTATATATATGTACAGGTGGACAGAGAGCGTGGTATGTTCATGGACACTGCGACGGCTGAAGAGATCTACCAACTGGCTGTCTCGGAGATAATGGTATGGCTCCACAGCGAGTGATATGATCATCGTCATGGTGCAACTAGCAAAAGGGGATTTGAGCTGTTAACTCTCAGTTAATTTGAGCGTTATAATACATCAGACTTAGCTTCATGTGGTGCGTGTCGCGTTTGCAGTGAACCGTTTGTCTTGATTTGCAAATTAAGTATCAGAATATTGTGTTGTAACAAGGCACCATAGGGATTGTCTTTTAAGTTTTTGGTGAAACATTTCGGCAGTTCATGCTCTGCCGTCGTTGATATCATTTTATTTATTGATTCTAATAATTAAGGGTGTCTTCTTCTCCATGTTGAATGTGGCTGAATATATAGATAAATGATTTCGGATAATTATGAGAGTACAAATAAATTAATTAACTATTATAAAATAAAGTAGTGGAATTGCATATATCATCCTGCTATACTGATGACTTATTATCAGCACGGTTGATTATTACTGTCAATAATTATGAGCTAACCCGTGGCATGGTCCATAGGCATAGCTAGCTAGCTAGGTGGCATTGTGGGCTATGGAACCACCTAAAAATTTGATCGAGATTAAAAATATAGCATGCGTGTGCTAGTTAATATAATAAAAATTATACAGTGGACCACTCTTTTAATTGACGTTTACATATAGATGAACCACCTTTACTCTAGTTACGCAAGCATGGTTCTTAAGCTCATGCTGACTAGCATATAACCATAATTATCGGGATTATTTCTCTTCCAACAGAGGACACCCACACGATTCATCCACAACCTACTTATAGTTATATGTGCCTGTGATACCCAAACGTGTGCATGGACGTACATGCAATTATAATCATATCTATGCATAATTATTTTTATGATACTTAAATATATGATAATTATTTGAGAGTACAAATAAATAAATTAACTAGTTTATCATCCTTCTATAGGGCATAGGTGATTACTACCATGAACTACATATAAACCAAATACTGCAATGACCATTTTTTTCTACATGCACTACTACAAAAACCTCATATAACCTCATATAGTGGCACTTTTGTAGAGGCGTTTTGTAACTTGCTTCTAAGATCAGAAGTTTTATAGTGTAGAGACACTTTATAGAGGCACTTTAAAAATGGGATAAGTCCATTTTACACCCCTCAACTCTTGTCATTGTCTAAAATTCGCCCCCAAACTCTAAAACCGGGTATCCAACACCCCCTAACTATTAAAACCGTTCAATTTACACCTTTTTTATATTTTAGGCGGTTTTGGCCTACGTGTAACTGAGATGGCAGTCCAATCAGCAAAAAGTATATATAAAAAATGTGGGACCATCTTTCAGTCAACCTTCCTCCTTTTTTTCTCTCTTCCTTTCTCGATCTGTCCAATCTCGGCGCATGGAGAAGGTGATGTTCCTCTCTCGATCTCTACTCTCCCCTCTCTCTCTCTCGATGCAGGGAGGCGAAGGCGGCGACCTAGGAAGAAGCGGCTCGGAGTGGCTACGACGAGCTCTGTCGGAGGCGATGACGCTCGGGGAGATTGTAGGATCGAGATGTCGACTAGAGGAGGGGGGTGAATAGGCGATTTAAAATTAAATTACACATAATCAAAACTAACCTAAGTTGCTAGGCTCGGTGAGGGACAAGACTAACTAAGCAACTAAGTTATGTTTTGCAATCCTAGGGTGAAAGTGGCTCAAGTATATCACTAGAAAAGTAAATCACACTTCCTAAGTCTAGTTTAGCAATCCTAGGGTGAAATGATCTCTAGTATGTCTCTAGAAATGTAAATTGCACAAATGTAAATGCAACAACTAAATGAGACAAGGAGACAAGAGATTTTTCACCGAGGTTCGAAAACTCGCCGGTTTCCTACTCCCCGTTGAGGCGAGCCCAACTCCACCGCTCAACCACGAAGCCACCGCACGCCCCCTTCGTCAAGGGGTGGGCAAGGCGGGAGCCGGCCCACGAAGAGGACTACCCAAGCCTCGATCACTAGGGTAGTTCTTCCTTCACTCCGAAGGTGGTGAACTCCAAACCACTCACAAACCGGCACCGGGCCTCCTCCATAATCTTCTCGGAGAGGTCACCGGGCAACTCCTCCACAAGCCGTCTAGGAGGCGGCAACCTCCAAGAGTAACAAGCAATGACCCGACGTGGAGATGCTCAATCAAGTGCCACACTAGCTCTACAAATGGAAGCAATGCACTTGACTCTTGGCTAAATAACCCTCTAACACACTAGATGGATGAACACAAAGCTCAAGTGGGTGTGAGAGAGGTGCAAGGGGTGTATGCAATTGAATTGGGTGCCAAGAGAGTCCCCTTACTGCTGGAGGGGGAGTATTTATACTCCCACCAACCAAAACTAGCCGTTGGGGGCGAAATCCCCCAACTCGGTGCTCTGTCGGTCTGACCGGAGGTATGTTGCTGGTCAGACCGTGCTACTCTACAACGGCTAGTTTTCTAGCAGTTGTAGGGCTGTCATTGGGCCCCACTGCCTAGGCCGGTCAGACCGACATGGGGTGGGCGGTCAGACCGGCCTCTGCTCGGTCAGACCGCCATCAGCTCGGTCTAACAGAATATGGCTCCGTCGGCTCGGGATCGGCTATCCCAGAGCATGCTATCCCGGCCATATGGCCGGCCGGTCAGACCGGCCAACACACACTGGTCAGACCGGCCCAAACAGGGCGGTCAGACCGGCGATGCCGGCCGGTCAGACCAGCACTCGGCCAGCGGTCAGACCGGTCCTGGCAAGGCCACACAGAGAACGCACAACTTGAAATATGGGGAGAGTCTAAAAGTGAGCACAAGTCTAAATGCATAATGATCTAATGTGGCAATTTAAAATCATCTCTTTTGCTAGGTCATTACCCCTCTTAATAGTACGGCAAAGCTATAAATAAACTAGCACAATTTTGATCGCCCAACGCCTCGATCAATTTCGAATGAAAACACAAGTTTACCGTCTTCTCTTCCTTTAGCTTTGTGCCGTCAATTTTTAATCCATAGGTAGACATCCATGCGCACACATAATGTGAACCTAACTTAAAGATATAGCTCAAAAGAACGGTTAGTCCACAATTAGCGCTTGTCATTAATTACCAAAATTAACACCGGGGGCGTAGATGCTTCAATCTCCCCCTTTTTGGTAATTGATGACAAACACCACAAATATATATAATCAAACATAGAGCACATGGACATATATTGCAATGACAATCAAAAGCTCCCCCTAAACATGTGCATAACAATCACAACTAGCAAATATGGAGTCTATGCACATTTCAATTTCACATTTCAACATGTCACAAACACATAAGCAATATTTCAATGTGAACTTCAAGAAATGTTCATCCATGAGCATAAGATGGTCACATATATATCAATATCACATACACCATCCATCATCGCACAAGTTCACATCACTTAACCATTCAAAACACATGAGTCACAAATCATCCTAAAAAGGGCTCACAAATAAACATAGGCTATTACAAGACCACGAAGGGTCCAAATGATATAGAGTTCAACAAAACAATAAAGAACACACAATATAGAGTAATGGTCTTCATTCTTGAGGAGGAGAAGGAGGACGCGCCGAAGAGGAAGGATGAGGAGCATCACGGCGGAGATGATATACAAAAGCATGGGTGCTCTCCAACATTTGGACTCGAGAATTCAAGACACCCACTCTAGTTTGCAACCTTCCCACCGAAGTATTCAAGTTGCCAACATCAGTGCACAAGCCACGAACATCCTCATGCAATGCTTCATGCCCAGTAGACAAGCGTTGGATGCTTTCACTTAGGGTATTAATAGCCCCAAGTACCGGGTTTAAGTATTCATTGGGTTGCATTCCAAAGTAGGCATATTGTGGATGGAAGAAGGCACTTGGATCATACCCATGAGGAGGAGGCGGGGCTGCACTTGAGCTTGCGCCTTGATCTAACGTTGGTTGGCGCACACGAGGAGCTCTAGGAGTGGAGAGTTGGAGACGAGGCTTGTACTCTTTGTGTTCTTTTAAGTTGTTACCAATTTGTCCCAACTTGCATTGAATCAACCTCATTATGTAGAGGGCATAGTAAACTCCTTGTCCAATAGTCCCCTTGGAAATGGCTATCTCCTTCATCATAAGGTTGATGACATCAAACCGACGATCATCCATGATGGCATCAATGACATGCCATGCAACGCCGCGTATGTCATCATTGTTACCACATCTTGGGAGAATGGTGGCCCTCACTATGCGGTTGATTACACTTGGGATAGCCCTCAAACCCCCCACCTTTCCATATGTGTGCCTTCCCCCTTCTTCATAGAACTGAGAAAAGTAATCAATCATGAAGGGGTTGTGGTTGTGCTCATCATGGAGGTCATCCCCGTTGTTGAAGCAAATGTGCAAGAGCTCCTTGAATTCACGGCGGTTGATAGAGCACCGAAGGGTCCCCGACATCCACTTCATAGCATCACAATCGCCGGACACCCACACGGTGGCATAAAATTGCCGAATGAGATCTTCATCAAAGGGTTGCTTCATGGTGACAATCCTATCAATCCCAACGGCCCAGAACATCTCTTGCAAATCCACAAACTCCGGTGTCTCACCAATGTGCCTCCAAGAAATCCACTTGTGTTCGGTGAAGGCTTTGTTGGCATATACTTGCTCATATACGGATTTTTGGAACCGTGTATGGAATCTTGGATCATTGCAATCATTAGGCCTCCGGAATTGATCAGATGACGAAGGATAGTGTATTGCTGGGCATTCCTCAAATTGAGCACAAAATGGATGGTGGGATCGAGAGGACTCCCATCATCACTTGCCTCATCATCCTCACCATCGCCACTGCCATTGACATCACCACCATCACTGCCATTGTCATCACCACTTACTTCCACCTCATCCCCCTCAACATTTTCCATATTTTCATCCTCACTTTGAACATATCATCTCCGCTTGATTCCTCATTCTCACTGATGGGATTGGGCGTGGGCTCACGACGACCATGGCGAGTGTGGGGAGGCATAGCTGAGAAACAAGGAACAAGGGATATATGAGCAACGATTTTAGAAGACACTAGGTTAGGCGGAAGGAGGTTGTATGCTGCTGTCAGGGGCGGTCAAACTGAGTACCATAGCCGGTCAGACCGATGGCAAGGCAGCGGTCAGACCGCCGGTCAAACCGGCGGCATGCGCCCGGTCAGACCGCCCTATGGGCTGGTCAGGCCGCCACTAACAGGAGCAAAAACAACCCCCTGAAACCATCACACAAATGACTCTAAAAAAGAATTTGCTACATCAAGATTGCACATGATTTGAGCATGGTTAT